GAGAGAGAGAGAGAGAGAGAGAGAGAGAGAGAGAGAGAGAGGAAAAAAGAGAGGGGGAGGGTGGGAGAGTCATCGATGGCGGAGTTAACGACAGTTTTGATGAACTTTATCACACACAAAGATCCGCCATTTTCCACAGAAAATTATTTCAAACTATAAACTGGCGGACCGAAGCCAAAGACCACTTTCTCGAGCTTATCGCGGCGAGTGTAACAGCAATAAGAGTGGCGTGGTTTTTTTCACAATTACGACATCCACCGGACGGGAATTCGTCGAGACGATGCGCACTGCGTGCGGAAAAAGAGACTTGCGAACGGGGAACGAAAAAAAGATGTGAAAACGAAGGAGAACGACCATCGCGAACACGTTCGATGGGTGGAAAAACGGTGAAACGATTTCAGAAAACAGAAAAATAAAGAGAAAGAAAGGAAAAAAAATTCGATCGAGGATTGAACTCTTGCGAATTCAATATCAAATCTATGTATCCAGTGATACATAAGAAATAGGTAGCAATACTGTCATTGTGTACGTTAGACTATTGTGAATATTCTTTAATAGGTTTATAATACGTTGACTACTTCTCCCGAGTTTCGAATTGATTTATAAATGAAATAGCGTGACTGTGAACGATAATGTGAACGTCTCTTGTGCGCGTGAGAATGTATATGAGCAGTTATAAGGCTTGCATCCATTGTTATTTATATGTTGTCTATAAAGAGATGAGGATGACAGAAACACTATTAGGAAGTTGTACACCCAAATCGGCACTATAAAATGCTTACATGTAAGTATTCACATTGTAAATACTGTTATATTTAATCCGTTCGAGCTGCTGTCACTACATACGTAGTTATACTGTTTTATTCCGTACCGATAAGCTCAGATGTAACGGAGTTAACTAAACAGAGCAGAATGACAAGTCGTAGCTTTGGTCGTTCCAACTTGAGTCTACCTAATTATATATCCTTTCGCACTGTATTCGTTTTGCGCCGATCACACGTCGGCGAATTAGTTCGTTAACCACGAGGCTCGTTCCGTTGTTCGTATCGACTTGTAAATCGAGCCCTTGCGTCTCGCCCCGATACATTTATTGCTGTTAACGATCGTACGATGTTTCTAGTTACACCGTTTTCTATCCTTATCCCCCTCGTTTGCCAAGATTTCGACGATCCCGCGGGGAAAAACCTGCTTTCTTAGAATCGCTGTCCAAGACGAACGCAAGGACTTACTTTGCAACCTAATATTAGCAGCTACGTCGAAGGCAGCAACATTTAATGTGCACCGACTCGTGAAAATATTCGAACGCTTGCCAGAAAAACGTTCTACGATTACGTGTGAATAACCTTTTTTTTTAAATGTCAGTAAAGTTTGGAACGAATACGAAACTCTATACGAAAGTTATGAATTGTTTGTTACCAGGCTGCGGATTTTATACATTTGTAGGTGAAACTGTGTACAGCAAATGTGAAACAGTGGAAACCTGTAAAAACCTGTAAACGGATGAGGAATGAACGTTCATGTAGCTTCTGTATCTTGTAGTTGATACAGATAATGCTTATTTTGTATTAAAAACCGCAGCCGTACACATAGCGGACGTTGCGAAAATATTTCAACAATTAATTAAACTGAGCGGAATTTTCAACTTCAGGAATTTTGATCACTTGAATCGTAAAAGCTACATCAATATTTGTTGCGTAACATGATTCTGTATACTTTCCCAGACAGGATGGTATATATTTTTTGTATCATTAGGAATATTTAACTGTAATGCATCATTTCTCGACAAAGCGGAATTTATTTTGAAGATTAGAAGAAAATAAGACAGAGATCTAAATAAAAATGATTCAAAGATAAAAGATTCGAGATAAAAATGAAATATAAAGTAGTAGAAAGATTAACATAATCTAAGAGAATCTAAAAACGATTAGATAATGAATCTTGATTGCCTGCAGTTGCCGCAGAACTTTTTTAATTCGCGCAAAAATCTGCAGTCTACTACTTACACACTACACACTACTTACACTCAGCTTGTAAACAAAAACGGACCATTTTGCAAAGGGGAGATACGATTATTCAAACCTCGCGGCTCGTTTTTATAGCTGCCGATAACATATAGTTGTCAATAATTACAAAAACAAGGCGCAAAATTCGAATAATCGTCCTATTGTTTACATCGAAGCGTGAACTGAAAGCGTTTACTGAATTGTCCATTTTTGTTTACACACTGAACGACAATTGCGGAGAATTTACTGTATATGTAAAACGACAAGTGTTCAAACAATTTTGCGAGTCAGTGCATGCATACGTCGCGCAAATGGGTTACTTTGAAATCATTGACAATCACATCACTGACTACGTTTCCGTCGGCACGGGTTCACCGACACTATGAAAGTATCGTCGAATTTTTTAATCATAACTCATTCTACTGCCCTAAACTAACCTAACCAAGGCCAACCTAAGCCTACCTAACGCAACCTAATCTAATATAACCTAAGCCAACCTAAGTCAACTTAAGTCAACCTAAACCAACATGACCCGAACTAACCCAACCTGACTTAACCCAACATAACCCAATCTAACTCCTAACCTAACCCGACATAACACAAACTAAGCCAACGTAATGCAACCGAAACCAACCTAAGCCAACTTAAGTCAACCTAATCAAACCTAGCCCATCATAACCCAACAATTTAATCTTTCCCAACCTAACCCGACCCAACCCAATATATTTAGCATAATATAACCCTGACCTAACAGGGTCAAACACAAAATAAGTATCAATGATTACATTCGTCGATGATTTCATAGTATCTCGGTGAATGCATGACGTCAATGAGCTCGTGACAACTAAAACATAGTCGGTGAAGTAATTGTCGACGATTTCACTATAACTCCGCCCAAATACGTTATTGTTGTTCGATAGAGTTGTTTTGCCATTGTAATAGTTCGGTTCGCGACGATTTTCACGCTTCGATGCGTTCCAAGAATGATCAATGTGTACGAGGACGACTTAATTAGCCGAATAGTTACGAAAAAAAAGAAACGAAAACCCACAACCTCTCGGGATTTACGACTCAACGAGCGCTCCGTGATTAGGCAGGAAGTTCAGGAGCGGCCTAGCAGCAAGTTCCTGAATCCGTGAAGCAAAACAAAAATGGAAATGAAAAGAGTAAAATAAAGTTTTATCCTTACACGACGCGCGTCGTCCAAGATCTTGGCGTGCGTGAACGAAGTCGCGCCTGGGGCGCCTCACACTTTGTCCTGCGGTTAAAACTACTCAAAAGCATCGTAGTCGTGCTCCGGGCAAACCGGAAACGTTGATCTGAGCATCGACTACGGTATCCGCTAGTGGCGGATGTATTTTCTTATTCTGTTTTGAGGCTCTTGCCGATCATCTCACGCATAAGTTACTGAACTGTAATGCAATCATCGTTACTGTCCTAATAAATCTTAGTATATGAATCCATATGAAACGAATGAACACTTTATTCCACTGAACGACCGAATTACGGTATCACTGATAACTAGGATCTACAGGGTGTCACAAAATTATGGTACCTCCGGGAAATGAGAGGTTCCTAAGGTCATTTGAAGTAACTTTTTCTTGAGCCAAAATGCAATCCGCCGCTTTGTTTACGAGTTATTAAAGAAATACAGTGACCAATGAGAGATGAGATCAGTTGACGCGAGGCGGCCGAGCCAATGGCCTCCCATTGGCCAGTATATTTAATAACTCGTAAACGAAGCCGCGGATTCCATTTTCGCTGAGGAAAAAGTTACTTCAAATAACCCCCCTCGGGAACCCGTCATTTCCCGGAAGTACCATAATTTTGGGACACCCGGCATATGCAGTTTCTCATTTTCACACGTTATTTTACAGGCATTGGAATTAAAAAAATATCCTTCGTCCACTAAAAAATCACCCATCACCGCAGATAATTAAGTGATTAGTAGCGGTCTCACAGACCGACAATAGTAGTTATATCAAGGGTTAAATAAGAGTCCCACAATCCTCAGCACTGTAGTCTTATTTCTTTTTATTATTTCTTAGTTGATCTTACAGAAAAGTCAATCACAGGAACATATGTCTAACAGTAAGATTAAATGATGAGATTAGAAAACAAAGTATACTATACACAACGTATAGTATTCGACAAACTACTTTTTCGTAAAAAGATTCTATACTCATTATCCTAGATTGCCAATGTTTAAAGAATTTTCGTTTCGAATTTTTCTCCTGTTTTAATTTATAGATACACGTCAAAAAAATTAAAAGAAGGTTGTACCCTATAAACAAATGTTCCGACAAGGAATACGTAAGTATAATAATAATATTATTTAAGTG